GACAGTTTAATGGATTAAAAGGCAGTTGACATAATGTTAAGGGCTTACACAGTTTCGGGTCAATACCCAAAATGTCAGTCAATACCTGGTGTGACCACCATTAGCATTGATCACTGCCACACATCTCCTGTACATTGAGTGACTTAGACGATTTGTGAAGGCCCTAGGGATCCTCCTGCACACATCCAGAGCAGCTGTGCGTAGTTCATCGGCAGTTGTAGGGACTGGGCGCACATTGTGCAGAACACGGATGTTGTGTTGTTGCAGAAAGGCCATGGTAGCTCTGGCAACATGGGGACGAGCGTTGTCCTGCTGGAAAATGTGTTGTTGATGTTGTGCAAAAAATGGAACAACGTGGGGTCTGATCACTTGGTGGATATACCGCTGAGCAGTGACGCCGTGTCCCCGACCTTGACCAACATTCAGAAAGCACATGGGTCGAAGTCTCGCATTAAGTCCAATCCCTGCCCATTTCATGACGCTAGGTCCCCCCCATGGATCCCTTTCCACAACGTTTCTGTCAGCGAAACGATCACCTCGACGCCGCCAAATTCTGACTCTTCCGTCTGCATAGCAGACACAAAAGCGACTTTCATCAGAGAAGATGACACGCCTCCACTCACGATGCCGCCAATTGCGATGACCCTGTGCCCACTAAGTCGTGCTTGTCGATGCCGTGGTTGGAGAACAGGACGACGTGCTGGTCGGCGACATCTGAGGTTGTTGGAACGGAGACGTCGGATCACAGTGTCCCGGCTAATGTGTCGATTATGTGTTCCTATGGTCTGTCGAGCACTTTCACTTACAGTTAGGAACGGATGTCGCTGGTGTTGACGGGTAATCTGCCGATCTTGTCGAGGTGTGGTGACCCTAGGACGACCGCTCCGAGGAAGGTCACCTGTGGTCTGTGTAGCATTGTATCGATGCAGGAGGCGGTAAATTGTGGTTGTGTTAACGTTGCAATGACGGGCAACATCTTGGACAGACTCTCCAGCTTCCAAACGTCCGATAGCCTGGTTTCTCTGAATTTGAGCTAGGCGTGGCATTGTTGACCAAGGAGTGGTAGGTCCAAGAATCGGCCACAGTTTTATACCTACTTCAGTTCGTGACAGTTTTCGCGAGAAATGGGTGCATGATACCCACATATTCATTGAAATGGTGCGTTTTGGCGATTCGTTTTTTATGTTGCGTTTTTACTCGGGGCTTCCAAAATGCAACCAAAAATATTGATAACACCATCAGGCTTCACTACATGCTAAAACTCGTATCAATTTATGGTTCCGTGTTTGTTACCTATTTGCTTAAAAACACTTGCGTTTCTTTTGCGTGTGAGTATATATACTTTATGTGAGACACAGTGATTGGCTCTTTTTTGCACACAGACTTAGCAAGTCTCCTTTTGCCAGCTTCCAATACATTTTATACCAGAGTATTCTCAGCTGGGCTAGTGATTCCAACAATAACATGGGCATATCTTACGCTGTAAAATGCATTCATAACTGGGGATATACTATCACAGCTTTGTATCAATGATAATACATAAAGAGCACAATGCAAAGGTAGTACTGGAATAGAACCTGAACAACCGTGAGATTCAGCACAAAGCTTAAATAGCCTGAAACCATAACCATACAATTTAGATGTTGATGCAGATCTTGCTTCATTCAAGAGCTCATTCAGTGGATTTATCTCATTTCTCAAGCTCTCTGGCAGAGTGGATATGACATCACCATACACACATTGTAATATACATTAACCTGAAACAAAGACAACATGCTATGAATCACATCATCCAGAATAATCTATATACAGTGCTAACATTTGAAACTTCAAATCTTCAATACCAAAAATGCCAACTCCACAACGTCCTTTGACATATGCCTGTTTGCATGTAGGTAACCAGACCAAATCTTTGACTTGCGAATTAAAACTTGCATTTGGACACAGCAAAGGCCAAAAATTAGCTGAATACCATCTAGGCACTACCAATGTGCCTCTGGCCTTGCACTTACTCATGAGCATCAACACTCTCGCAACCAAATACACCGTTCCAGTTCATTTCACCACCCCAGTCAACAGTAAATGTGTCAACTGATTCGCAACCTGGGTTCCAATGACTAGAATCAAAACGTACAACTTTATTATTGTACTAAGATGCAAATCTGTCAATAGAATGAGGACCCCATTTTTCATCTATCCACTTGAACACATAATCTGCAATGCTCCAATCATCAGTGTCGTATAATCTGCTTAGATAATCTGCCCTATCATTGAGGCAGCAAGGAATCCATTCAATGTCCAACTGAACACAAGACTGTAAGCACATCTGGAAAATTTCCAGAGCTATTGACTGAAGTTGAACTTTCATACTTCCTTTCTGAACAACTGAAACCACGTTCTGGTTGTCTGTGAACCATTCAACTGTGTGGAATCCTAAAAAAATCAGAAAGCTACTAAGTACCATGGCAACTGCTTTGAGTTCCCTCCACGTGGAGCTCCTCTGCATTTCACTAACTGACCATTGTCCATGAGAAACTCTACCACCGAATTGAACACAATATCCCACATAGCCCTTGCCACTAGCATCACTATAAACTATCCTAGAAGGGGAACTTTCAGCACGCAAGGACCTTGAGTTATACACTGAAATGTTGGACAACAAGAACCTAAGTTGTTCATAACAAGTAGGAGATAAATAGATCCTCACATTCCAAGACCTTGCCTGTAACACATCAATAGATAATGCCCTCGTCATGAGTTGACTGACAGAACCAATAACTGGCTTCATTGCTATTTTCTGACCTACAACTGACGAAATACTCCGGAACGGTATCTTGCATTTCATTTCTTCAATGTTATCAATACAACCCTTGAGTTTATTAGTCTTCCTATCGGGTACGGTGAGCCTGAACTGTGAAGTATCTACGCCAAATGTGACCAGGCCCATGAAAAGCCAAGATAAGCAGTATGCTGTGGAGACATCCTGATGTGATTGTTAGCCGAATGTATATCAAATTTAGAAGCCAGTCATTGGCATTAATATACATTAAAGCCGTTCTCCAGTCCTCCTATTTGACTGAAAGCTTGTAAGCGTGTTTGTTAACAAGAGAGAGATCTAATGAGTCTTTTCTTTCCCGATGATTGAACAGAGACAGAAAGGGGATTCACAACATGTGGTCTATCAGTACATTCAACAATAAGGTCTTTTATTGAGCAAATCTCGTATTGCTTCACATACAAATTCGTGGTGATTAAGCGCTGATTAGTTATTTTTCAGTTCCATTGACAAAGGCGAGGAATAGAAGGGTATATTATAACCATGCTTAATAGTATCTAGCACAAAGTCAGTACATCCTATTTCCTCCCAAAAGTTGCTACAAAGTCTCAAACGTCCTCTAACACTGAAATCAGTGAGTTCAATATCTGATTTACCTTGCTCATTCTGTTTTGTTGGTCTTGTTGACAGCACGACTGGGTGGCTGTGATGTTACTGCGACGAGCGGGCAGTCTCTCCTTCAGTGTGACGGATCTCCGCACGTGAAGCACTTGCCTGTTCTGTAGTTTGTACGAAAGGGCCGCTGGGACATGACAGGCTGAGTTGTAAGGTTAGCCACAGGAAAAGTAGACTGGGTAACAGTCGCTGTATGTGGTTTTCTATACGGAGAAAACCTGTCAAACTTGGACTGCTTCTTTTCAGCTCTGGCTTCAGCTCGGAACATCCTTCTTTCATCGTCGCGATTATCATTGTTTCATACTGACGCACTGTTTCCCACCCAGCTTCTGATGTATCTGCTAGTTTGATGTGCATATTTCTTCGTACAATGCGTGTAATCTCAATGGCGATCAGCTCGTGAAGATACTCCCCTTTTCCATAATCAAAAGCAAATTTAAGTTGCTTCAAATTGCCTATGGTGTCCGCATGAAAGTTATACTGTATTTTATGGCCGTCACGTTTCCACGCGAATTCTTTCTCAGATTTAATTTCTGCAATTCCAAAGAAGTTCTATTCAAATTAGCATGCAAACCTGCGAGTTCAGCATCCACTGCATTGTCAATGTCTTCTTTGGATACCAACTGTGATCAAATGCTATCCAGTTTTTCGTTGATCTCAGTCCATAGTCCAATTAATAGATGCACGTGGACTATATTTTTGCGGGAATAAAGCTGCTTGTTTTATGGCTAGACTGCAGGCGAGAATGAACTCCCCGCACCATGATGTCACTCATATACTCCATACAAGCGCCCTTTATACATGAGTTACTCCCCTTTGTATCTGGTTTGCGCATGAAGAGAAATCAATTTCATTCCATTCAAACGAAAGAAATTTCATTAAGATCATTAGAGGATCGTGCTGGTGATTTAAAGTGCGCCTCAGGTGGATACGAGGGCTCAACCTCTAGACCTACAAGTATTTGTTTGTTCGTTTGTTTGTTGTTTAACACCGCACTCAGCTTTATTCTAGCTATATGACGGTGGTCTGAAATTAATCGAGTCTAGAACAGACAATCCAGTGATTGACATCATGAGCATCGATCTTCGCAATTGGGATACGATGACATACAACCAAGTAAGCGAGTCTGACCACCCGATCTCGTAAGTCGACTCTTACAAAAGCAAAGTTGCCTTTTAACGGCAAGCACGGGTTGCTGAAGACCTAACACACACACACGCACGCACGCACGCACGCACGCACGCACGAACGCACGCATTGTAGTTCATTCGTCTTTGTTTTGTTGCAGGTATCATCGTTCTTCTCATTCACCTGGACCTTTGGGGAGTTTCTGTGCAAAAGCGTCCACTATCTTCAGAATGTGTCTGCCATCTGTTCTGTGTTTACCCTGACCGCCATGAGTCTGGGGAGGTTTGTACAACTGCAGAATACTGATAACTCCCCACAGAACCCCGGTGATTGCGACGTTAAACAACAAACAAACAAAAACAAACAAAAAAAGCACCAAAACCATTTCCATAATCACAAGAAATATAAAAGTAGAGTTCAGTGTACGATTCCCACTTTATTAAAGCATGTTTATGGACCACTGCTAAAAGGTGTTAGTGTTTAATGGAATTTCGAGTTGGTTTACGAGTTGACGAAAACCGCCCTGTCTGTCCATACAAATGGATTGCCATATGAAACGGACGTGCTTTAATTCGACGGACATCCGGGTCGCAACTGTCATGCGTGGTCACGTGAATTGAAATTCGATGGCAGGTCCATGCTACAAGATCCTTGTTTAATAGAAGTTTTCGAGTATACGTAACCGCCCCTTGAAATATCTCGTGATACACGCGTAATTCCAAACAACAACACATGCAGTCAAACACCGCTGTGTCGAAGTTGAAGGGACCTACGTTAATACTTCGAGATTCGACACAACCGGAAATTATAATAAATAAGGTGTACGCAGGGACCAAGCTTTTACTTCGAGATAACCATAAGTTCGACACATCAAAGTTCGACACAAAGTTTGCTGTATATGCCTTTATCTTTATTTGCCTTTTTTCAAAGTAAACAGAATATTGAGTTTGATATACGAAACATGAACACAACCATATATGATTAATAACAAAACAATAAAGAAGTCACATTTCACCACCAATGATTAAATATAATTATCTGGATACAGACATTGAAATATTTACACCATAAGAATTGTTCAGAGTAATCTATTTCCAAATCAATTGTTTAAGAGTTTTAGCTGTCGTCGAAGGTTTTGTTGACTAAGGCAACTCGAAGGTTGTCTTTTTTCTGCTGCCGTCGCTGGAGAAACATCATGACTGCGACACCGATGATGCCGCCCACAACCAACATGGCTAAAGCAACTCCCACGAATGCCCCTGGATGAAAAAAAGAAGACGGCTGTACGATGATTTTAAAATAAAATACCAAAGACCCGAATCCGTGCCGTTACTAGTATTTGGTGTATGTCTGATGTGTTTCCATATGATGTGGACCTGTGTCACGTGGACATGTTTCATGTGATCCTGAGTCATGTTGACATGTATCATGTGATTCTGTGTCACGTGGACATGTGTCATGTGATCCTGTTGTCATGTGATCCAATTTCATGTGATCCAATTTTTGATGTGATCATGTTGCTCTGTGTTATGTGTCATGTGGCATATGGTCGTGTGATATGTCATATGTGTTTTGATTCCCTGTCACGTGGGCCCATCTCATGTGTAATGGGATCATGTGTGATACGTAATGTGATGTGTCATGTAGTCCGAAGTGATGTGTCATGTGATCCTATGTGATGTGATCCTATGTGATGTGTAATGTGATCCTATGTGATGTGTGATGTGACCCTATGCGATGTGTGATGTGATCCTATGCGATGTGTCATGTGTAATGTGATCCTATGTGATGTGTGATGTGATCCTATGCGATGTGTCATGTGATCCTATGCGATGTGTCATGTGTGATGTGATCCTATGTGATGTGTGATGTGATTATATGTGATGTGTGGGAGCATGGGTGGCCCAGTCGTCTAAGGCACCGCGATTCACTCTGCAGAGTTGCGTCCCTTGGACACGTCAGGAATCTATGATTGTGGGTTCGAATCCCGGGTCCCCCGATTATGTTTCTAGGTTTGTCAGCACCATACCCGTGCTCGTGGGTTTCACCGAGTGGTAAACATCTGAAGACTGCATCACTTCGGGCTTTCCTCCCACATTAAGCTGACACGCCGCGATATGACTGGAATACTGTGATTCTATGCGATGTGTGATGTGATCTTATGTGATGAATGATGTGATCCGATGTGATGTGTCGGCTTGCCTGTCACACATCACATGTCTTTAGAATTTAAGCGGGACCGTCGTAGTTGTAGAAGTCGTACCTGCGTTGCTCGACGACTTTTGTTGGGATGCGACGTTGGTACAACTGACTGGTGTCGTCGGGTTCTTTCCTGTTGTTTAAAGAAAGAAAACAATTAGTTACAATCACAACTACAGATGACTCTCATAATTTTTTGCAGACTGAATTTATATCTCGATCAAAGGTGTTTTGGTCTCGATTAAGTTGAGGTTGCTTCTGTAAACTTTACATTTATTATGTAAAAACCAACATTATTATTATTATGGCATATATGAAGTGCAAATTTACACATAATACTAATACACTATCCTATACCAGTGAATGACGTGTTCACCTTGATTCGGTGTCTGGTGTCCAGGGTTTGGCTGTGGTGTCTGGTGTCCAGGGTTTGGCTGTTGTGTCTGGTGTCCAGGGTTTGGCTGTGGTGTCTGGTGTCCAGGGTTTGGCTGTGGTGTCTGGTGTCCAGGGTTTGGCTGTGTTGTCTTTTGTGCAGAGGTTGGCTGTGGTGTCTTTTGTGCAGAGGTTGGCTGTGGTGTCTTTTGTGCAGAGGTTGGCTGTGGTGTCTTTTGTGCAGAGGTTGGCTGTGGTGTCTTTTGTGCAGAGGTTGGCTGTGGTGTCTGCTGTCCAGGGGTTGTGTTTTGTGTGACGGCTGGTCGAGGCGTGGCTCCTAGGACACCAGAAGGATGACAGTAAGAGTATAACAAGGTTTAACAGTCACAGTGACATCTAAAGAAATAGTTTTCAATGCTCATCAATATAACGTTATCAGGAGAGAGAGAGAGAGAGAGAGAGAGAGAGAGAGAGAGAGAGAGAGAGAGAGAGAGAGAGAGCACACCATATACACGTAAGGTCTGTTGTCCTGCGTTTACAAATGATATATCCTTCAACACGAACGTTCAACGCACTAGATTCGAATAAGATGTCATTTCGCTAGAACAAGTAGTAACTTGTTGTAGTGGTTACACAGTTGTAATGAGCACATTTATTATAATTCTACATTCCACACTCTCCTACTTCCACTTTCCACACACCCCCTCTCCCACATTCCACCTTCCCCCACTTCCACATTCCACGCTCCCCCACTTCCACATTCCACACTCCCCAACTTCCACATTCCAGACTCCCTAACTTCCACATTCCACACCCCCCCCCACTTCCACATTCCACTCTCCCCACTTCCTCATTCCACCCTCAACTTCCACATTCCACTCTCCCTAACTTCCACATTCCACACTCCCCAACTTCCACATTCAACGCTCCCCCACTTCCACATTCCACTCCCCCCCCCCCCCCCCCACTTCCACATTCCACCCAGACCTCCACATTCCACACTCCCCACTTCCACATTCCATACTCCCCACTTCCACATTCCACATTCCGAACTCCCCACTTCGCCACTTCAATACTCCCCCACTTCCACTTGTTCGTGTTTGCCACACTATCAATACCATAATAGTGATTGTATACGATGCAATATCCTTGACTTATATTGATACAATACAATGATACATGCTTGCCAAATTAGCAATTGCCTCATGTTGACACTATACAATGAAACATGCTTGCCACACCATCAATAAAATAATGTTGATACTATACAATGATACATGCTTCCCACACTATCAATTCAATGATGTTGATACGAAACAATGAAACCTGCTTGCCACACGATCAATAGCATGTTGTGTATATTGTACATGCTTGTCCCACTATCAATAGCCTAATGGTGATATTATACAATGGCACATGTTTTCCACACAATCAATAGCCTAATGTTGTTATAAAACAATGATACCCGCTTGCTAAACTATCAATAGTCGTATTTGACATAACATAAATAACAATGTGCACGTGAATACTACATAATGCATTATACTTGACAAGCTATGAATAAAATAAAATAGCATAATACTGCATAATGCTACATACGTTACATACCATCAATTATGTGCTGTGAATACTACATAATGCTATATACTTGACATACTAATAATAACGTAATTGGAATACCACATAATGTTATATACATGACACACTATCAATAACGTACTGTCAATACTACATAATGCTGTATACGTGACATACCATCAATAACATACTGTGAATACTACACCATGCTTATACATGACATACCATCAATAACATACAGTGACTACTACAAAATGCAATAAACATGACATACCATCAATAACATACAGTGACTACTACATAATGCAATAAACATGACATACCATCAATAACATACAGTGAATACTACATAATGCAATAAACATGACACACCATCAATAACATACTGTGAATACTATACCATGCTTATACATGACATACCATTAAAAACGTACTGTGAATACTGTGAATGTATGTATGTATGTATAAAACTAAGACTTCTTACCCGGTGTTGTTGCATTGTAACTTCGCTGTCTTATGCTTTTAGCTGTAAATGTCTGATTCTGGAAGTGATTAAAAAAAAATTACTCAAATCTTGTTCAAAGCGGGTTCACAGAGAAAGTTTTGAAAGACAGTATTTAAAAAAAACCCAAATAAATCGAGGGTATGTGTAAGTGAGTTGGGTTTTACGCCGCCTTTAGCAATATTCCAGGAATATGGCGGATAACACCAGACATGGGCTTCACACATTGTACCATTGGGATTGATTCCACTATGCAAAGGTATATATGTGGAAATATAGATCAATTAACGCCATATGAAACCTAAAATAATTCATTTCGAAATAAGCATGATAAAACCACTAACAACTGTAAACAGTTACTTGACTTACAACGAAAGCATAATTTTTTTAACGGATTTTACAGAGGTCACTAGTATTATGCGAGATTTTGCTGATTTTGTTTTCACCGTCGGCGTTGATGGTTCCATCTCATGAGATCTGTCACTCCGATTCGAGTACGATACCTCTCTGCGGACAGATCTGAGGATAGACACCTCCATAGATCACGTCAGATGAACCCTGTACGAACTCTCTGATAGCAGTCTAAACGAAGGATGCGTGGCACAATATAAATGAAGGATGCGTGGGTTCTTGAGCCAATCAGATGTCAGCTTCTTAAGCGATTCGGCTCTATTTCTCAACTAACGTAAAACGGAAAATTTCGACTTTACTATAAGACAACTCACACAGAACAGACCTATCCATTCAATGGTACTCACTTTTGGGTGTGGATGGCTTATAAATTATACACAAAATAATTGTACAGCCTTTATCATTTACATTCGGAACTGACCGATATAAATTCAGTTTTGAGATACATAAATGCTTCGTTCAGTGTTGAAGCCTGGCACTGATGAGCTGGTCAGAACGTTCACCTGACGTGGCCGTCTGTGGAGGTGTCTCGGCTCTGCATGTAGACAGGTATTGTACAGGGGTAAAAGACCTGATTCTTAATGTGTCGTTGATCATGTTATCAACAACTGGCATGGCTTTCCTTACAACAGGCTTGTTGATTCACAGACCTCCCTGAAGTAGCTGGAATATTGCTGTCGAAGGGGAATATATAACGTCACCGTCAGCGAATAACCAGTCTAGATTATCCGCCGAAACGGATTCCATTGGACGTAAAAAGGCAACACAGCTGTAAAAATTATATGAATTACTGAAGATCGGTGATGACAGTGTTCGCTAAAAGGTTAAGCTTTGCCTGCTCGACAGGTAGAACCCACGTCTCACACAATGTGCACAAAAAGTACCTGTGTGTTCCCTGAAGGCGGCCGGCAAACACACCAGACAATCAAGTGGTCGATGGACCAGAAAGTCAAGTGACACGAAACGCATTTAAGATTAATTTAAGTACGTGTACTCACGATGCCAACAGTGGGAAGCTGCACTGGGATAACAAACTTCCCTGAAGTGACTGCGGTACTTGTAAGTCTGTACGCCCTTATTAACGGTGTCTCATGGACAGCTGCTCCGGTCAGCACACCTGTAACACAAATATGCTTATTATGAAGTTATCATATCGTATCGTATCGTATATCATATCTTATCTTATCTTGTCATGTAGCATCTGAGGTAAAGAGATTCAAACCCTCTCAAATATGAAACAGAAACTACGCGTTTTAAGGATATAAGCCCAAATGGGTATATATTGATCGACTTATGTGTACTGACCAAACAAAGTTCAGGGATCATGAATATTTTGTAAGATATTTTTGTAAGTGAAGACTGAGCATATAATTTCATAAAAATATCCCCAAAAGTTCGCATGATCCCTAACTTGTTTGGTTTAAACCATGTACGAACATAATGGTAGATTTAGTAAAGATAAAAATGTTTGGGATCTTATATATAGCGGAATCGGCGGAGATGTTACTGTTGAAAGCTATAACCTATAACTATGTCAGCTTTCAAATGGACAATTTTGCTTCATGTATCATTGATATGCCATGGTTTGGGACATACAGGTTTACTTTAAGAGGGACATTTCATGAAGCCAGAATACATTTTCGACAAAATTATACCACAAACAGTGCAGGAAAATCATGCACAAGGATCAATGTAAATCAGTGAACAACCCTAGACATAAATTCAATCCTTGAAAGTTGTAAAATGTTTTGAAGACTTTTTGTGAATGACTGAAACAAACACTTCTTGACGTGCAGGAACATTTATTTAAAATATTATCGACCGTGACCGCCATGAAACTGGTCTATGTATATTATTAATAATATTAATATTAATGAGCCCACTTGTAAAGCGCTGTGCATTCACGTGTGTGTGTTTGGAGAGGGGGGCTGTTGGTACCTGTAATAAAGTAACTGTATGGTTCAACAATTATCTGCACCCGATTCTTATTTTTTATGTAATCACGTGCTGTCCGTGTGTTGACATTCATTCGTCACCACTCGCCCCTGTCCGTAACCTGCAAAAAGACTCGTCCCCCTATCGATGAATACGACAAACCAATCAGAATGCGCATAGGAAAGGTCAAAGAATCTCTCAGGAATATTTGTATATTTTACGCATGACTTTCATTTAAAACTATACCCAAGGTACAATTTAGTGTGTTCAATCAAACTGTATAATACTGTAAGTCCCGATGTGTCCCCAATGGCATTTGGAACGTACATGATATATGAGGCAAATGTACGAGAATTATGACGCAACGAGTTGAAAATTCCTTTAGCAATGCTCGTTTGCGCGTTGGCGGAACCCAGTCGCAAAGGTGGGCACGAGAGGGGCACGAGTCGCTATTCGGCTTGTCCCGGATTAACACGAGTTGGTCACGAATGTGTTGACATTGTGCCTTGTCTGTGACGATGAAATAACAAACTGCCAGTACATTGTCTTGAATGACAACCCTGCACTTCTTCGTTTTTTTCAGTGATAGTCCGGACTAATGCCGATGTTGTAGTGCTAGCCCACTGAGATACCATGCCGCAGTTTTACATGAATACCCCACTCAGACACAATATACTGACTCCGTGCCGACCAGTCCTTGTCTTAGACCCTTAACGCCGAGCACCAGACAGGGTAACCATCTCTTAACGTCTTCTGGTATGACGCGGTCGGGGATTGAACCCCGGACCTTCCACTCTCCGGGCAGACGCTCTGCCACTAGACCACGGAGACGGTCGTTTTTGTTTGTATGAAAATTGTCCTCCGAATGAAGACATCTCGTAGGTTGATACGCGATGTACGTAGTTTGAGCTTGAGGATATGAAGGGGAAACATTGTGTACTGACAGGTATATGTGTAGGAACTGTATGCTCTCCTGGACTTGTAGCCACAGAGATGTCAGGACAAACCGGTTTTATAAACTAGGTTACAACGAAAATGTAGCCCCAGCTCTGTTTTCCTTATTTATGATCGGGGTGGTCGGACAGCCTAGTGGTTAAAGCGTTCGCTCGTCACGCCCAGACCCAGGTTCGATTCCGGACATGGGTACAATGTGTGAAGCCCTTTTCTGGTGTCCCCCGCCGTGATATTGCTGGAATATTGCTAAAGGCGGCGTAAAACCATACTCACTCACTCACTTATTTATTATCGATCTGGGGAAGCATTTAAATATGTAAATTGGTAAAGATATACAGCTCATCCAAATATCTTTCATATTTCATAAAACCCAGCTTCACCGTATTTCTATGTGCAGATGATACTGTTCCCCTTGAGACAAGTACCAGTGAACTACAAATGATGCTGAATCTGGTAGTTGTTACTGTAAAAAGTCCATTTTAAACCAATATCTTGTATCTATAACGATTATATAAGTATGTTCAATGTCGGATTCTCCCTAGATCTAACACAATCAAGATACATCTTTTGTAACATCTTGTTGTCTTGTTATTTTGTAAAAGTATAACAAGTTCACGGCTAAACATAACTCATGTAGACAAGACACAATCATAAGCCATGTCTACCGGAACAGTAGGACATACTTACCCTTTTCCGTGAACACCTGGTGTCAGCGGTAATTTACAGCGGTTCGTTCGTATAAATATCATCACTGCCTTGGCTTTTATGCTTAATGGAATCTGTTTCTGCAGATAATCGAGACTCATCGTTCTCTGGCGTGTCATTTTTACGTTAACACAAGGTCGACACAATCCTGTCTTCATTGAATGTCTTTTGAATGTGTTTGATTGCGATTGGGGGATTTGCATTACCCTTAAACCACAACTTATTAAAATCACAGCTTAGTATCAAAATCAGATCTTAGTTCTCGCTACCGCTAAACAAAGTTCTGACGAAATCCCATTAAGGGTCACGTCGGAACGACCTTTCTTCCGACCAATCCTAGAGTCGGCGAAAAGATCGGGAAAGTGACATTCGAAATGTGTTTTCTAATCATGCTATCTCGAAATGGTTAACACGGGGTATTCCGAGCGACAGTTGCGTCAAAATCACCGTCTGTCTCTCGCTTCACAATGGGTTAAAAATTTGAAACGGAAGATGCTTACCGTACTCCGTGAGAAGTACTGCCATACGATTTCGGATACAATAATTTTCGTTTGTTCAGTTTTCAAATTTTCAAATTTTCAATCGATATTGTTCAAAGTGTAGTCTGGAATGAAAGCCAGTTTAAAAACGTGTGCCATGTAGCTGGCAAAAGTTGCATTCTGATTGGCTTATGCGGACATCTTGTTTTATTGGTCGGTCAAAGTTCGGTCGTTTTGACGTGATCTGTTATGGGCTATCTGAACAAAATCGGCTATTTCCGGTGACATTAGGCCTATGAGGTGCCTCGTAGCCATTGTAAACCGGGACTATATTTGGCCACATTACCATTACGTGATGTAAGCATACTAGCGTGCAGATGACAATAATGAATAGCTTGTCAGAGAAAAGAAACTGCTTCTTGTGTGGCAAAAACGGCCGTTTGCATATTCAAGTTATGTCACTCATCTTACGTTGAGGATAGTCTTTTTAGTCATTTACGCTAATCATTATTCCCCGTCAGGCCAGGTCCGGACCATGAGCAATTCATATTTGTTCACATCAACATATTGGAACTATATTTTCAAAACGTTGTTGTATAGGAATATATATGGAATATATTGAGGAGTGATTTTCTCAATAAGTAGCTAAGTATATGTAGGACTCGCGAAAATTAAACAACGATGAAACGTTAACGTGCCCAAAACGTGCCTCCGAAATCGTGTTAGCCTGTTTACTGTTGGGACAGAAAATACCCACACTCACAGCCGAGTCTCATTTGCGATTACTGAAATTGACGGAATGGGGCGAGATTGACCGAAAGCTGGGATGTTCTCAGATATTTGTTCAGCGGTAGCGAGCACTGAGATCTGATTTTCTCAGCGGTTCATGGAATTCCGTGCAGCTGCGGATATCCTTAATGGAATGAATACTAGTATTGTCGGGGGCACGGGTGGCCCAGTCGTCTAAGGCGCCGCGATTCGCTGTGCAGAGTTGCGTCCCTTGGGCACGCCAGAAACCTATGATTGTGGGTTCGAATCCCGGTTCGCCCCAATTATGTTTCTAGGTTTGTCAGCACCATACCCGTGCTCGTGGGTTTCACCGAAGTGGTAAACGTCTGAGACCTGCATCACTTCGGGCTTTCCTCCCACATTAAGCTGACACGCCGTGATATAACTGGAATACTGTTAAAAGCGGCGTTAAACCCAACTCACTCACTCACTCATTAGTATTGTCTGTCTCAACAAGCGTGGGCCTTAAACGTTTCATTTCAAATAATGCTTCTTTGTTTACGCCTCAAGTCTAAACTGACTTACGCGAAAAGTGATCACAGGTCTCACTGGTTTGAAGAACCTTTCCAACCGATGTGTAGTTCCAACTCAGGGCGCATGTTCTTGTAGCTAGACAGAGGTCGAAGCTGTTGCAAGTTCTTTCCTGGCTGTTGCACACCTCCGCACAATCGAGGGCGGCGTCCACGTCTGTTACACGAAGGCTGTCTGCGAAGTGTGCCACCATATTCGGCCAACGCCGGTACCTGGCTGAACCAAAAAACAACACCCTGTATGAGTAATTGTTACCGAAATGTATGGAAGAGGAAGTGGTTTTGAGTATATTGGTCTGTTAAGAAAATTTCATGCATAATGTCTGGCATTGTTTTCTCGATTAAAAAAAAAGGATGACACATTATTCATAAGGTGGAAATATGTGTCCCTTAGGTGTGTCAGGATCCGCTGTTTCACCATGTAATTGACGTCTACGACCCTTTGAACTGCGATTTTTCTTTCAAATAATGATAATGACGCTGTGGCACTGAAACACGTTTCAAAGCGGCATCAGCACCGATTATAAACCGTGTTCTATCTGTGTCCAAAGTGCCAACATCTACTTCCTGCGTTCCCTCATGAACCTGACGCTGTGTCATAACAGAAGTACTGTTCAAGGCGGCATTAAAAGTGCAGTATTGTTTATCCTTGATTAGCTGACAACTGGGTTAGAAAAAGTCTTCAGCAACCAATGCTTGACGTAAGAGGCGACGAACGGGATCGGGTGGTCAAGCTCGGTCACTTGGTTGATGCATCTCATCGTATCGCTATTGTGTAGATCGATGCTCATTATATCAATCACTGACATGTCTGGACTCGATTATTTACAGACCACCGTCATTTAGCTTGAATTCTGCTGAGTGCGACTTTAAACAACAAACAAACGACTAAACAAACATTTGAGTTTCGTGCTCTAAGAACATACTGCATACGTCAACTGAACTGAATGAAAGCATCAAACATCAACGATGTTACATAAAAAAAGAAAGTAGGCCCTTGGGGCCCTGTTCACAAAGCGATACTAGTGCTACGACTATCGTATGTCCCATACTTTCACATATAATTAAGACAGCCGTTGCGCTACGATCGCTTTGTGAAACGGGGCCCAGCTCCACAAAGCGACCTTCTACGACTGTTGCATGTCAGTGTTAAAGTTTCATAAAGATCGTCTTAGCATTAAGATCGTTTTGTAAAACGGGCCCCTATGACATTACCCAGAACGGGGGCCATGTCAAGGATTGTTCCGACGAAGTAGGCGTTCTGTTTGTCCCAGTGCATGTCCACACGTTGTATTCGGATAGGTGATAGACCTCCCGTCTTGGCGATGCTCACAATCACAAGATCTTCCAGAATAGTCTTGTAGTTGAGTAAGAAGTCAACATAGTTCCCTGGGGATGAAAGTAACACACTCGAAACCATTTAGCATCTGTTATGTTAATGTCAATAAAAGAGACTAAACCCTTTCCACTTTCATCTGAAGCAGTGTCCATTGTACGATTCCCACCTCTTCATAAGTATGTGGTTATGAATCACTACACAAGAAAACCTAATCTATAAAAACAGAGGGAAAGTTACTTTATACAAACAAGGAAAGTTTCATTATACATACAGAGGGAAAGTTATTTTATACATACAGAGGGAACGTTACTTTATATATTCAGAGGGAAAGTTACTTTACATATTCAAAGGGAAAGTTACTTTATATATTCAGAGGGAAAGCTACTTCATACAAACAGGGAAAATTTCATTATACATACAGATGGAAAGTTACTTTATACATACAGAGGAAAAGTTACTTTATATATTCAGAAAGAACGTTACTTTATATATACAGAGGGTAAATTACTATATACATACAGGGGGGAAGTTGCTTTGTATATTCAGAGGGAACGTTACTTTATACATACATGGGGAAATTACTTCAAACAGAGGGAAAGCTACTTTATACAAACAGGGAAAGTTTCATTATACATACAGAGGGAAAGTTATTTTATACATAGAGATGGAACGTTACTTTATACATACAGGGGAAAAGCTACTATATACAAACAGGGAAAGTTTCATTATACATACAGAGGAAACCTTACTTTATATATTCAGAAGGAATGTTACTTTAACTTATAAACCTCCGGTGACGTCATCCTGTTGTTCTTCAGTGGGGTTAAATCTCATAAACAGGGACGTTGTAATGTCCCTGGGATTTTATAGGATATTCAAGTCATATTTACTAAATAATGTGTTATAATATCCCATTATATCCTGTGTATTTTATTTATAAAAATTCCGTTCAGATTGTAACATGTAATGGAATTTAAAATCAAATGACAAATGTTTTCTTTATATTCCCGAGGATCGAACTCGCATCCTTCATATGTGTAGCCCAGTAAGTGTACCACTAGGCTAGAGAGGTGTTGATAAGCTGCACTGCTTTTTAGAATCATGTCCTTTTCAAGATCCGTACGCCAGCAACAGATATTTTACGCCCGTTTCTTAAGGTTCATCGAAAGTATGTTCGAAACATAAAAATGTTGATAAACGTAGTTTTAAGGTTCAAAATCGGTATATAAGGAAGATATAACACTACCCCTCGGGTTGTTATGATATTTATAACCCTTTCCCTAGGAAAATCCCTTGGGATGCGGGTTTTAAATATCATAACAACCCTCGGACGTGTTTTATCCTATACATACAGAGGGAAAGTTACTTTATATATTCAGAAAGAACGTTACTTTTTATATACACAGGGAACATTACAATATACATACAGGGGGAAAGTTGCTTTGTATATTCAGAGGGAACGTTACTTTATAAATACAGGGGAAAACTTACTTCAAACAAACAGAGGGAAAGCTACTTTATACAAACAGGGAAAGTTTCATTTTTCATACAGAGGGAACGTTACTTTATACAAACAGAGGGAACGTTACTTTATATATTCAGAGGGAACGTTACTTTATATATTCAGAAGGAATGTTACTTTATATATTCAGAGGGAATGTTACTTTACATATTCAGAGAGAATGTTACTTTAAATATACAGAGGGAAAATTACTTAAACATACAGAGGGAAAGTTACTTAAACATACAGTGAGTGAGTGAGTGAGTTGGGTTTAACGCCGCTTTTAACATTATTCCAGTTGTATCACGGCGTGTCAGCTTAATGTGGGAGGAAAGCCCGAAGTGATGCAGGTCTCAGACGTTTACCACTTCGGTGAAACCCACGAGCACGGGTATGGTGCTGACAAACCTAGAAACATAATTGGGGCGAACCGGGATTCGAACCCACAATCATAGGTTTCTGGCGTGCCCAAAGGACGCAACTCTGCACAGCGAATCGCGGCGCCTTAGACGACTGGGCCACCCGTGCCCCCTAAACATACAGAGGGAAAGTTATTTTACATATTCAGAGGGAAAGTAACTTTATACACACAGGGGGAAAATTACTTTCTACATACAGAGGGAAAGTTACTTTATACATACAGAGGAAAAGTTTCTTAATATATACATACAGAGGGAAAGTTGCTTTATACATACAGAGGTAAAGTTACTTTATACACAAAGAGGGAAAGTTACTTTATACTTTCAGAGGGAAAGTTATTTTAAACACACAGAGGGAAAGTTACATCATACATACAGAGGGAAAGTTACTTTATACATACTGATCATGAGGGAAAGTTATTTTAAGCATACAGAGTGAATGTTACTTTATACATACAGAAGGAAATAGGGAAAGTTACCATATACATACAGAGGGAAAGTTACTTTATACATACATTTTATACAAGTTAATTTAAACACTACTGAATGCTACTTTTTACACACAGACGGAAAGTTACTTTAAACATTCAGCGGGAAAGTTGCTTTACACATACAGAGGAGAAGTAACTTACAGTGGGAAAGCGTATTTATGCATACAGAGGGAAGGTTACTTTACACATACAGAGGGGACATTACTTTGTACATGCAGATGGAGAGGTACTTTACACATACAGGGAGAAAGTTGCTTGATACATGCATAGGGAAAGTTACTGTATACATACAGAGGGGAAGTTGCTTTAAAGATGCAGAGGGGAATATTCTTTATACATACAGAGGGTATGTTACTTTATACATACAGAGAGAAAGTAACTTCATACATACAGAGGGAAAGTTTCGTGGCAAAGGTTACTTTGTACCAACACATAGGTGAAATTGGGTTTCACGTCGCGTCCACGATTATTGCACTTGTATAGCGTCGTGATCATGTACATGTGGTATTGCAAAGCTAAGCTGGACACACAGGGGTATGTAAATGTACAAGGGGGGAATGCACACACACACATAAAGAACATCTATCCGCATAACACAACACCTTTATCACGCAGTGCTCAAACATGGATAAAATCGTCCTTGAGAATGCGTCTTTGTACAATACATAGAGTACTTACCTGGGAATGTTATCTCGAAGTTAATCTCATCTTGGTCGGTGTAGCATGGCGAAATGTCAAAGCGACTCAACACTGGGTTTTCTTGATCAAAATTGTAGAAATCATACGACAGAAAATAGTCATCCTACAAAAAAAGATGAAATGCAATAGCTGACTGTCACAAAAACATGTTTTTTCTCATATATACTAATTTTCATATATTTCCATATAATTTCCCTTAGTTTGTTTCATTCGTATAACCTATACAACATAAAGTAGGTTCATTTGACTTCAATGTCATAGAGAGCGAGTGAGTAAGTTTAGATTAACACCCCTTTATACAGTATTTCCGTGTCAGCTTAACAATTGAGGAAAGCCCCAATGGTGAGGTGAGGTGATGAAAAATTTGGTTTAACGTCGTGTTGAAGATTAATGCACTTACATAATGCGCACGTACGTTTTTGTGTTTGCTTGAACGTGTAGAGATTTATTCAGGTTTATAGTGCTAGCCTACAGAGATACGATGCCGCCGTGTAACAAGATCTAGAATACCCTACTCAGACACATTATACTGACTCTGAGCCGACCAGTCCTTGTGTTATCCCCTCATTGCCGATCGTCAGGCAGGGTAACAACAAGTACGATCTTTTTAAGGTTTTGGGTATGACGAGTCCAGGAGAGAAAGGCTGAAGGGAAGTAAGTCTTAAACGTTACCACTTTTGTGAAACCCACGAGTGCGGGTGTGGTGTCGAAAAACCTTGAAATTATTGGTTGCGGCCATGCACACATGTGGGACGCAACTCTGCATAGGGAAGTTCAAGGCCTTAGACGACTGAGCCACCCGTGTCCCTGGGAACTGTGTTTAGGCACAAGTTGTCACAATATTAGCGCCGCAGTGCAACTGGTATGACTATTGTGTTTTGAACTATCCCAACACGTTTGAATTATATACAATGCTGGCAAAGGTCTCACTTGATAAGCGTAAAGGCTATTTTTTACTCACTGCCGAAATTTCAAGCCGTACTGGAGTGTCCACGCTGTCCTGGTTGTTGCCGACGTCGTTGTCGCTAATCCAGTCATTCTAGGGAAATTTAAATGACATAAGTACCGCTTGTTATCACACAGCTAATTGTGACATTATTGGTAGATTGTGTTCGTCTTGAATGTACTGCCACAATGTATACCGTCACCCCAGCTTGATAATAGTGTCAGAATCTACATCGACGCTAAAGGCAATAAACCAGAAGTTGTTATCCATAAGGTTTTACGTTTTCTTATTTTGTATACCATCAAGTTCTTGGTATTCCAATAAATGAACACAAAATGTAAACATTAGTTACATCAGTATTATAATGATTCGACCCTAGATTGTTTTCCCGTCCCCATAACCCCGAGAATTGATGCCATGCTTGTCTCTGTGAGTAACGGGGTCAGGTGATCAGGCTCGCTGACTTGGTTGATGTCTGTCATCATCTCCAAGTTGCGTAGATCGATGCTGATGATGTCATCACTTGATTGTCTGATCCAGACTCGATTGTTTACGCATTGTCATCATACTGGTCCCCATATACCGCGACGTTAAACAATGACAAAGCAAACAAACAAACCGTCCCTCACAATACATCAACTCACCGACATGAAATACACTTCGAAGGTTACAGGCATGCCTAGAAGTCCAGCGTCAGCGAAGTCCGTACGGACATTAGTAAAGACGTCACACAAGATCCCACGAGCTGTACGCTTGTAAATTCCACACAAGGTTTTGAATATGACAAGTACATACAATATATTTATGTATTATCAATATGCACACACAGCTTATGCATTTTTCCTGTTTTTTTCTTTAATGAGCAGTGCCCTTTGGTTTTGTGTTACCTGTCTACCGGAATATTTTAGAATCCGACATTCTGATTGGTCAAATCTACGTTAGACAATGAATTTACTATGACCATTTCCCTGTGGAATTAATACCTGTTGGAAACCTTGTCTTTCTCAAACTCAAACAGGAAACCATTCCACATTCTGAATTGTAATATACGTTACGTAATAGCGCGTTATGGGACATAATCTTTCAGACAGAAAGCAGTAATACTACGAAGTCAGTGAAAGAATGTTGATTTGTTTGTGAGAAATATAATTTGCTCCAGAATGTCTGGAAAAGAAGTAATTGTCATGAGGAAAGAATTTGCTAGATAGGCAGGATGGCCAAACAGTATGCAATTATTTTAACCCCAAAATATTTCAGACAGGAAACAGTAATTTTACGACGTCAGTAATATAATGTTGATATTCTTTGGTGAAACATATAATTTGTTCCAGAAGAGCCTGGAAAAAAGTAATTGTCACCAGGAAAGAATTCGTTGGGGATGCTAGATGGCCTGAAAAAAGGCCTGGCAGCTTGAACTGATTGTATCATTGAATATGTTGAGCCGAAAATGCTTATCAATTCAAATATTTTCAATTTAAAGGTGGATTAATTTCCATTAAGTGTTTCGTCTCAAGTAATTGTCAACAAGCTCCAGCGGTGCTCCCAATCGAGGGCATATCCATTGTTTGAGGGATGATGGATACATGGATTGTACGATGGAATTCTGCATGGATGTCTTTGGTTTGCGCTTCACTTATGATGTATGTTACATTGATTCTTCTTGCTTTCTCAACAAATCTATTTAAGTTGACAGGGATACTTTGAGATTTACATTTTGCTTAAAACTCGGAACAACCCAAGGTCAAGAGAAGTCAAGAGAACGTGTGATTAATGTTAGAAGCAAATGATTTTGCACCTTAAATAACGCTAACAAGCTCCTGACAGGGTGTATTGTACTACCTGTCCAGAGTAGGCAAATGTAGGATCTAAGTCAAAGAGCTGTTCTGGAGACTTCATCCCGATGGCTTGATGCAAGCGGGAGACATTGACTGTTGCGTCCCACGTTCCGTTCTCAATTGGAACAACAGAGCAGTTGAGGAAGGACTTGTCAATAACGTAGGCAACCCCTGAAAAATATTTCACACAATACAGCAACTTACTTAAAAATTACATTTCCGGGTATCACGAATCCTTGAAGTATCAAAAACATTTAAAACTCATGTCCGAAAACGTTGATCATCTTACGTAAATCGTAAGTCCCCGAAATGGTTTACAATGAGAATGCAATACTATTTATCAATATATATTTCATTTCGACCTCGCTGTTCTAGTTTTCATGGATCATAACTTGTGTCATTTTGGGGTTTTCCTCCCAAATTGTACATATCCGTCTCTCTGATCATAATCGTCAACCTGTATCTATTGTATGTATTTATATCCAGTACCTGTGTTATAATCGTGTATTTCCGTGACGGCGTCGTAGCTGTAGTAAGGGTAGCTGATTACGTTAGGACGGTTGTCGAAACGGAGGAGTTTGTTGTTGTAGTCGTAATACACCTGAGGAAATAACGTCGTGGCATGGAATGAAGAAACCGTGTTTCTATGGATGATGAGGGAGCACGGCTGATCCATTTATCGAAGGCGACGTGAATCGCCTTGCAGAGGTGCGTTCGTAATAATTAGGCGTACCAGAAACCTATGATCGTTGGCTTGAATCCCGGTTGGTCCCAGTCATGTTTTTAGGTTTGTCAGCACCATATCCTTGCTCATGGGTTTCACAAAAGTGGTAAATTTTAATTAAAAGCGAGAAACCCGTTCTATCTAAATTCTCTGCTGAAAACAATTGTACGATTCCTAATATATGTCAACCTATATGATACCAAATGTGTGAGAAAACAGGTGCATCACTTCACCGCTGATACGCCATGATATCACTGAAATATTGTTTAAGCGACGTTAAACAACACTCACTCACTCATATAATATGGGTGAGATGTATATATAATTAGCTTCAGCGTATTGGTTTATGAATATTTTTTATACATCAGGTCGGTTACCATTGTGTTATGCATGTATGGACGTTGTTCTCTCTATGGACATTTATTTACTTACATCGGCATTTACGACCATGTTCATATCCTGGTCTATTATCTCCTCCCTGTACTGGTAGTGTGTCTTCAGCTTCGGCATCGCTCGGGTGTGTTTCCGACCGGCACATGCAACGCCTTTTGGAGTCTAGATGGAATTATTAATATGATGATAGATGAACCACACAAACAGAAGGACACTCACTCACTCACTCACTCACTCACTCACTCACTCACTCGTGCATGTGCAATAATCTTCAAATCGTCGCTCAACCACATTTCGACTCACATCTACTACTATTGAGGCTTACTAGAGTTATGGAAATTAATCACTTATTACAAATTTGAATGTTTTTTTTCTTTTACCTCTAGATTTGTCGGGTCCACAATGTAGCTTTTAAAACTAATATAATCATAAATATGATGGAAGCTTGACATTGCACCCGGGCCAACAATGGAGTTGTAGCCTTGGACCTCAGCTCTCACAGGAATCTGCATTGTTCCGTCTGCACTTGTCCACGTGGAGACTGAAACACAAAACAGAAATAGTTAGCTACAATACGGAGGAGCCAGATATATCTAATATACCTGGTTGTACCTTAATATTATCTGTTTTCCCTTGTTTCCTGTGTGGAAAATGAAAAAAATGAAACCGTATGCACGGTTGTGTATGTACTGAGGCATAGTTCATCGTGTAATAAACATTTCAATATGCACGGTTGTGTGTGTACTGAGGCAAAGTTCATCGTGTAATAAACATTTCAATATGCACGGTTGTGTGTGTACTGAGGCAAAGTTCATCGTGTAATAAACATTTCAATATGCACGGTTGTGTGTGTACTGAGGCAAAGTTCATCGTGTAATAAACATTTCAATATGCACTGTTGTGTGTGTACTGAGGCAAAGTTCATCGTGTAATAAACATTTCAAAATGCACGGTTGTGTGTGTACTGAGGCAAAGTTCATCGTGTAATAAACATTTCAAGATGCACGGTTGGCTCAGTCGTCAAAGCCGCCGCAATTCGCTGTAAAAAGTTGCATCCCTTAAGCATGCTCAAAACCTATGTTTCAAGGTTTGTCAGCACCATATACGTGCACCACCACCACAACCCCACCCCATCCCCAACCCCACACGCCGTGATGTAACTGGAATACTGTGCAAAGGTGCATTAAACCCAACTCACTCTCTCACTAAGTCAAAATACCAAATTTCAAGTGATAACAGCTACTGTTGATTTTGTCCGTTTAATCAAACATAGACATTCCCGAATGGTTTAGTGTGACCATGGTAACATCCTACGACGTCGACACGACTACATATATGTGAGGTAAAGTAAAGTTATGCTGTAAAGGATACCAAAGTGCAATGAACACAGCACAAAAAAACGATTTCCGGTTTTCGGTAACCACCCGGAGATGAAAGAACCTCAGAAAAACGACCGAGACATTAACAAAAGTAATAAGAATATGAAGTACATTTATATCAAATAATAGTAAAAGAGATATCACGCAATTATTTGAAAGTACAAAGAATTATGACCACAAGCCTTTTGTCGCATTTTCATAATTTGCTCATGGGTTTTTGTCTGAAACAGACGTGAGGAATAATTTGGAATTTATCACACGTTAACCATAGATTGATGTGCACTGGATGCACATATTTCGATATCAATTAATTTTAAAAAAACATGTCTTGAAACATGTGGAACGCACGCACCTTTCCTGATTTCCATGTTAAGATATTGTACAAATGAATGATGAAAATATTACGTGACCTGTTCCATTAGTAGGATGTACAAAGTTCATTCTAGTTAACAATTCTCCCTTTTTACAATCACAATGCAAAAAGAAAACAATATATGAAATCAAGATCATATCACAAACTTCATGAACAAGATTAATATTCATGATCGTTATTCAAACACATCAAAGGTATCTCAACCTAATCTCAGTAGTAATTTAATCCAAGTAACAATAAACCTGAGACGGTAGAAAGGGAAACACATATTACCATGAATTTGAAAATTCATGGATTCTGATTGGTCAATCAGGTATCTTATCACAATAAAATCATCTGATTCAAATAGCCGATTTGACAAAGCTCATATATAGTCCCTCTTTTTCAGTCATTTTCGGTAAGCGTTTTAAAATAATTATATGAACAATGAAAGATTACAGAATGTTGTATGTGCGTGTATATGTCATATGCATTTCCTTCTGCATTTGCGAATTTTTTCAAAATGTGTAAAATCTGAAACTGGTCCTGTGGTATTGTCAACAGGTATTTTACATGCGTATGTCATTGCACGCGTGTTTCAATGGTGTAAAATCCGGAGTTTGGTCCTGTGGTAGTGTCAGCTGGTAATTATACATGTGTATGTATATGGATATTCGTGACAGTAATCGTCCGGGAGGACGGGCTCCGGACTAAAGAGGCCCAGTTTTTCGAGGTTTTCCTCTACCTGTTATTTTTACATACCTGAGAAGTAGTAATCGACGGTGAAGTTGACGCCGAGAAAGCCCCAGTACATGCACGACTGCCAATGATCACACAGGACACCTCTAACCGATGTCTGCCCCTTGTAAACCTTCAGAGAACAGGTTAAGGCCTTGTACACATGACCACATTCTTAGTGGTCAGTTTAATATTTGTGACCCACAAGGAGAAAAGAACCTTATGCTAGAATACAATTGTACTATGACGTCATAAAGACGTTTGACGTCCACTTACTTCAGTGAAGATCGCCATGTGTGCGGACTGTACACAGATATCTTATTTTTCTCTCGTTAGTTCGTAATGTAGTAAAACATTATTTCAAAACCTTTCAGCATACTTGTCTACTTTCAATTCATCAGATATTATGTCTGAAAACAGCAAGTGTTACATAAACAGTTATAAGTCGGAAAATATGTCCAAATGTTTGATCTCAAGTATCTCTGTAATAAATATGAATTGAAGCTTGTGAGTTGAATTTTTGTGGTCCGAAGATACTGTAGTTTTAAAATATAATGACAAGTCAAAATGTGATTTTCACCCATAAGGTACCTTTTCTCATGGTTGGTCACATTTAATTACAAAACACTGACTTTATGATGAAATGTCAGGTAAACCAATGCGGTGTTGATCTGACAAAAGTCTGGGTTTTGCAGTTATCCTGATTTGTTAAATTAATGGAACAATTGTCCTATGAAGCACAGAGCTTGTATCTATCTAAAACAGCACATACACAGCAAAAATCTATAATCTATGGACTTTGGAAGGATTTAAAAAATACATGAAAACGTTTACAAAGATCGGTCGTACAATGAACAGCATTTCATCACTTAAGCAAAACAGTTGTTTCAGGTGAGCTAACAATACATGTAAAGGATCATACCTCCCCGTACTTTTGAGCAAACTTCAGGATATAACTTGTTGAATAGGTGTGGGTCATGTTGCTGTTGCCAGGCATTTTACCACCGATAAATACATCATCCATGTCCGTAGCTTGGTTCATGACGGTGCAGTTATTGTCTAGAAAACGGAAGAGAATCGTCCACAGAACAAAACAAAACACTGGACAAATCAAGTTTCATTCAGAAACACCACAACCGATACAAAAATAACGCTATTATGATCCTTTCAATTCAGCATAAACGCTATTTCAGATCACGTTATTCAATGCCATCGGAAGCAGGAAACACCTTTGGATTAGAAATGCATTTGACTTGTTGAACGTAATGGTCACACCATACAGGGAAAATTTAGAAAGCACCGTCATTTCATGTTCCTTCAAAGAAAACAACGCGTTTCTTCTAGTGATGAAATGCACACCTGCGATCGAGACGTACCACATCTTAATTAACCATTCATGATCTTGTTTATGAAATTGTTTTACGGCGCATTTACTAATAATCAAGCTGTGTCCTGAATATATTCGAACCCGTACAAGGCAAACCAAAGGTTGAGAGAATGAGTAGCTATCAACACGGACACAGTCAACGCGGTCATACATCATACGTCCTCAGTATAATAGGCTCATTCGTCTTCCCTGGGATACTGGGATACCGCCGCCGACCCTCCACGGAAATATTTGTCTCAGAAGACAGTCAGGCCAGTTTTATCGTTCCAACTTATGAATATTGCAAACATGACTTATAAATAAAGATTCCTAACATTTAATGTTATCGGGAATAGAAGAATATCCTTTAGTTATCGATTTATTTTCAATATAGCACCAACTTGAAATATATATCAATTGGTTCCATTTTGGTTTTTCTTTCTTTCAAAAGTAAATCTGTACATTCTTATATGCATAGGGATAAATAGTTCCATACAGAATACTTACTAAGGACATGGTAGCTCTCATTCGTGTTCATGTTTATGTACACGTACTCAATCTGTCCGTTCTGTGTGAGTTTCATGGCGGATCGCTGTGAATCTTGATCGAAATATTCCTCCGCAACCACGCTCATGTTCCTATCAATGAGAGCGCCCTCGATGGTGACTTGAAAGGACGGTGGCAGGGCTTGTGGAAGGCGAGGATCTGGAAGATTTTCGTGCAAGAAGTAAGGATATTTCAGTTATGGACAGAACATGAAGGGCTTCTTGTTACGAATAACCCCTGTCTTCTTGAATCATTATTATTATTATTATTATTATTGTACTGTGCATTATGGTACAAAGCCCCGGCATTACTAAATCAAAAGGTAGGAGTTGTATGATAGTATCATAATGTCATATATGAATATCGTGACGTAAAGTTCGCAGATAGTGGTGCAAAGCCATAGCACTGAGGTGACCTGTTATGGTGTTGTGGTGTCGTAATGCCATGATGTTGTGTCATGTTAAAGTATCGCGGCGTGAAATTGGAATGATGTCATATGATATCGCTATAGCATGTTGGAGCGCTGCGACAGCATGTGGCTTTGTGATGTCATGTTGTAGAATTGCGGCATCATGTAGCTTTGTGATATCATGTTCTAGATTTGCTGATTCATGTAGCTTTGTGATGTCATGTTGTAGACTTGCTGAATCATGTAGCCTTGTGATGTCATGTTGTAGACTTGCTGAATCATGTAGCTTTGTGATGATATGTTGTAGAATAGCGGCACCATGTAGCCTTGTGATGTCATGTTGTAGACTTGCTGAATCATGTAGTTTTGTGATGTCATGTTGTAGAATTGCGGCAACATGTAGCTTTGTGATGTCATGTTGTAGAATTGCTGAATCATGTAGATTTGTGATGTCATGTTGTAGACTTGCTGAATCATGTAGCTTTGTGATGTCATGTTGTAGAATTGCGGCAACATGTAGCCTTGTGATGTCATGTTGTAGACTTGCTGAATCATGTAGCTTTGTGATGTCATGTTGTAGACTTGCTGAATCATGTAGCTTTGTGATGTCATGTTGTAGACTTGCTGAATCATGTAGTTTTGTGATGTCATGTTGTATAATTGCGGCAACATGTAGCTTTGTGATGTCATGTTGTAGACTTGCTGAATCATGTAACTTTGTGATGTCATCTTGTTGACTTGCTGAATCATGTAGATTTGTGATGTCATGTTGTTGACTTGCTGAATCATGTAGCTTTGTGATGACATGTTGTAGCATTGCTGAATCATGTAGCCTTGTGATGTCATGTTGTAGACTTGCTGAATCATGTAGCTTTGTGATGTCATGTTGTAGACTTGCTGAATCATGTAGCTTTGTGATGTCATGTTGTTGACTTGCTGAATCATGTAGCTTTGTGATGTCATGTTGTAGAATTGCGGCACCATGTAGCCTTGTGATGTCATGTTGTAGACTTGCTGAATCATGTAGATTTGTGATGTCATGTTGTAGACTTGCTGAATCATGTGGCTTTGTGATGTCATGTTGTTGACTTGCTGAATCATGTAGCCTTGTGATGTCATGTTGTAGAATTGCGGCACCATGTAGCCTTGTGATGTCATGTTGTAGACTTGCTGAATCATGTAGCTTTGTGATGTCATGTTATAGACTTGCTGAATCATGTAGCTTTGTGATGTCATGTTGTAGGCTTGCTGAATCATGTAGCTTTGTGATGACATGTTGTAGAATTGCGGCACCATGTAGCCTTGTGATGTCATGTTGTAGACTTGCTGAATCATGTAGCTTTGTGATGTCATGTTGTTGACTTGCTGAATCATGTAGCTTTGTGATGTCATGTTGTAGACTTGCTGAATCATGTAGCTTTGTGATGTCATGTTGTAGACTTGCTGAATCATGTAGCTTTGTGATGTCATTTTGTAGACTTGCTGAATCATGTAGCTTTGTGATGACATGTTGTAGATTTGCTGAACCATGTAGCTTTGTGATGACATGTTGTAGAATTGCGGCAACATGTAGCCTTGTGATGTCATGTTGTAGACTTGCTGAATCATGTAGCTTTGTGATGTCATGTTGTAGACTTGCTGAATCATGTAGCTTTGTGATGTCATGTTGTAGACTTGCTGAATCATGTAGTTTTGTGATGTCATGTTGTAGAATTGCGGCAACATGTAGCTTTGTGATGTCATGTTGTAGACTTGCTGAATCATGTAGCTTTGTGATGTCATGTTGTTGACTTGCTGAATCATGTAGATTTGTGATGTCATGTTGTAGAATTGCGGCACCATGTAGCTTTGTGATGTCATGTTGTTGACTTGCTGAATCATGTAGCTTTGTGATGTCATGTTGTAGACTTGCTGAATCATGTAGCTTTGTGATGTCATGTTGTAGACTTGCTGAATCATGTAGATTTGTGATGTCATGTTGTAGAATTGCGGCAACATGTAGCCTTGTGATGTCATGTTGTAGACTTGCTGACTCATGTAGATTTGTGATGTCATGTTATAGACTTGCTGAATCATGTAGATTTGTGATGTCATGTTGTAGACTTGCTGAATCATGTAGCTTTGTGATGTCATGTTGTAGACTTGCTGACTCATGTAGATTTGTGATGTCATGTTGTAGACTTGCTGAATCATGTAGATTTGTGATGTCATGTAGAATTGCGGCAACATGTAGCCTTGTGATTTCATGTTGTAGACTTGCTGACTCATGTAGATTTGTGATGTCATGTTGTAGAATTGCGGCAACATGTAGCTTTGTGATGTCATGTTGTAGACTTGCTGAATCATGTAGCCTTGTGATGTCATGTTGTAGACTTGCTGACTCATGTAGATTTGTGATGTCATGTTGTAGGCTTGCTGACTCATGTAGATTTGTGATGTCATGTTGTAGAATTGCGGCAACATGTAGCCTTGTGATGTCATGTTGTAGACTTGCTGAATCATGTAGATTTGTGATGTCATGTTGTAGAATTGCGGCAACATGTAGCTTTGTGATGTCATGTTGTAGACTTGCTGAATCATGTAGCTTTGTGATGTCATGTTGTAGAATTGCTGACTCATGTAGATTTGTGATGTCATGTTGTAGACTTGCTGACTCATGTAGATTTGTGATGTCATGTTGTAGACTTGCTGAATCATGTAGCCTTGTGATGTAATGTTGTAGACTTGCTGACTCATGTAGATTTGTGATGTCATGTTGTAGACTTGCTGACTCATGTAGCCTTGTGATGTCATGTTGTAGACTTGCTGAATCATGTAGCCTTGTGATGTCATGTTGTAGAATTGCGGCAACATGTAGATTTGTGATGTCATGTTGTAGACTTGCTGACTCATGTAGATTTGTGATGTCATGTTGTAGACTTGCTGACTCATGTAGCTTTGTGATGTCATGTTGTTGACTTGCTGAATCATGTAGCCTTGTGATGTCATGTTGTAGAATTGCGGCAACATGTAGCCTTGTGATGTCATGTTGTAGACTTGCTGAATCATGTAGATTTGTGATGTCATGTTGTAGAATTGCGGCAACATGTAGCCTTGTGATGTCATGTTGTAGACTTGCTGACTCATGTAGATTTGTGATGTCATTTCTGGCGTCCCCTTACAAGTATAAGATAATTTGTAAATATGTTTCATAATAAATAACATCAACGTATTTCCTTTACTCTTTTTAACAGCGTTACTGGAGCTTTTTCTTTGTACACCAATCACATATCCGAGATAATATGTACACTGTATTATCTTATCAGGACAGAGGTGGACCCAACAGTAATCAGGCTATCATAGCTAAACCGGGCACTTATATATGATTGTCGCGGGATGCTCACCGTTCGGGGCGACTGTTGCGGATGCGGCGAATGTACACACCTGGGCCGTGCTGGTGTGCGCCGACACTAGCCATAGTCCAAGAACTAACAATACCTACAATCAACAGGAGAATCAACTAACATCCAAATTGATAAAAGCGGCAAACACTTTCCATAATCTAGTCCAAACTTACTACATAATAAGAGTGTGTTCTGAAACCACTATCAAATAATAATGATACCAGGTGTTCGCAAAAAGGTGAGCATAGCCTGCCCCACTGCAGCATCCGTCACAAACACATGCAAAGACAAGTCAATTGTTCACCTTAACAAAACGGGAAAACATGGTACAAGTCAAAATAGGGAACTGCATCGGACATCATTTTTGTTATAGAAGTGTCTAATTTTGAAATGTCCCCCGCATGTTTACCACAAAACATTTGTATAGCGCTTTGCCTGCCTTGAATATTGTTAACATAATTGAGTACATCGGCACCAATGAACGGAATTGTTATTTAATTGAAGTGCTTTATTTATGAACGAGCACATTCGAGGTAGCTATTGTGTATTGTATTGGTAAAATAAGGGTAATATGTACAGTTGGTGAAGAAGATATCTTAAGAGAAACCTTCTTTTTTTTGTTGATGTAGACACAGGATTACCAGCATTTTGATGTGCTTTTCTAAATTATTAATAGAAATCTAATCAAAGTATGCTTATTATCATTGTACATCCAGATATTTTAAGAAAAGAAATAAACACTATTTAAGCATGTTCACGAAGATATTGCACATATATGTGAAATGTGTTTTAATCAAATAACAACGTTATTATTTGAAATGATAATGCATTTCAACACATAACCAAATGATTGATAGGTATTTTTGGTAAACAGGTACCACTTCATGTGGGTGGTCAGATCACAAAATGAATACGTCAGTGCATGTATCAACTTTGACATCATATGATGAGTTTATAGTATGTAATGTAATGTACCTATGTAATGATGTTAATCATTCGTACATGTACAGGGGGCACGGGTAGCCCAGTCGTCTAAGGCGCCTAAAATTCGCTGTGCAGAGTTGCGTCCACTGGGCACGCAAGAAACCTATGATCGTGGGTTCGAATACCGATTCGTCCCGATTATGTTCTAGGTATTCTAGGTGTGCAACACCATACCTTTGCTCGTGAGTTTCACCAAAGTGGTAAAATCTGATACCTTGATCACTTGGGCTTTCCTCCCACATTTAGCTGACACCGTGAACTATTGTTAAAAGTGGCGTGAGTGTTTAAAACTCACTCACTCACCCATATACAAATGCCTTAACATTTACTTTTCATGAGGGAAATAAGGATGACATTGTTAGTTTTGCTGTACATACTGTAAAGTGTATGGTTAAAATATGTTTCAGCAACAATGGATTTACAAACTGAAGTCACTGAATCGAACCGGATCGTCGTCGTGTAGAACCAACGATTTAAGTAAATAGGTATTTGTTAAATGGCTGTTTTACTGTATATTAGAGGACCGGAATATCCAAGGATAAGAGTGAGTGAGTTTGGTTTTATGCCGTTTTTGCAATATTATGTCGGGAGATACCAGAAAATGGCTTCACATATTGTACCCACAGGCATCGAACCCGGGCCATCGGCGCGACGAACGATCGTTATAACCATTAGGCTACCCCACTATCCACTAAGAGAAGATAGTTAGTACAATGAGGACGTGCAGGGCAAAGGTACTTTATCTGTAAGGACTGTATATGATAAGGTTATCAATCTATAACGAAAGCGTGGACACGAAGAAAACTTTACTTCGCACAACATAAACAAATATATACTAACAGCTATCCAACATCGATAGTAATTGTGTCTTTTGTGATTTCTTACAAATAATAATTTCAATCGCCAGCATGTCAAATATAGGTGTTCAGATAATAATGACACCATACCCATACCCTAATTATTGTCACCCCTCGATATAAGTGTGATATGGGGTGACTATAATTATGAGTATGGGTATATATACCAATTTATACGACATATATACCAGCCAAAACAGGGCAAAGACATATGCTCCTCAATAAACTAAATAACTGTGAAGATTGTGTTATATTTAAAAAAAAGTTTTGATAATATATTAGTATTAATATTTTATCAAATTCATACGAGATATTCAAATATAACATAGTAAGACATAAGTAAGGATGAATCAACTATTAACATGTATCTGTTTTTTGTTTTATATTATAATTGTGAGAATACAGTGCAAGTGTTTGCTTACCTTCATGTTGATGCTGTAAAAAGTCTGTCGTTATCAGTTGAGTGAAGGACGGACCACTGATAAAAATTTAAGTGGGTGTATTTTAGTGTATCACGTTGTCCTCACTGCCGACGACGTGTACACACAATGACACACTTCATCACATGACAATCTTGAGTTATTGGGTAATTGGGGAAATAAGCACTGTAATTGCTGATTAAGTCAAGCAATGTTCATCTCTGAAAATGTGAGTGAGTGAGTGAGTGAGTGAGTGGGTTTGGTTTTACGCCACCTTTAGCAATATTCCAGCAACATCACGGAGGAGGACACCAGAAATGGGCTCCACACATTGTACACATGTCGGGAATCGAACCCGGGTCTTCGGCGTGACGAGCGAACGCTTTAACCAGTAAGCTACCCGACCGCCCCCATCTCTGAAATAAACACGAATGAGCTTTTTCCATAATTATATATTGTCCGATTACGACTATATCATAAGCTTTTGTTATGGATCACTATCACATAGTGATGATAACAGGTGTTTGCAAAAAGGTGAATGAATGTCTCCTGTCCCATCTGTGGCGCCCGACACAAACACATACAGAGGCAAGGCAATTGTTCACCTAAACAAATCCCCAAGGGAACATGTGGTGCAAGTCGAAATTGTCAATTGTCAATTAGGTCTTCCAGTCTTTGGGTATGGCTCAGTGACTTCCTTTAAGCAACGTCAGCGGCGGAATGTTGTTGGATGGATGACCACGCTCGATATACCGCAGTCGTGTGACCCTTTGTGTGAAAGGATCGATTATTTGACAATGGTTCTGGAAACAAATCTCACATTTCTCAACAGGTCTTAAACATTCTGCTAATACCCATTGGCAAGAAGATGTCTATCTGGTAGACTGTTGTAGAGGAATGTAATCTCTCTGGGAATGAGTACTGTATATGCTGGAGCTGGACGTTTCCCCTCCGACATATGTTTTAGCTTTATGACGGCGGTCTGTAAATATTCGAGTTTGGACCAGACATTCCAGTGATTGACATCATGAGCATCGATCTACACAATTAGGATACGATGACAAGCATCAACCAAGTCAGCGAGCCTGACATACCGATCCCGTTAGTCGCCATTTGGGTTGCTTGCACGCACGCACGCATTGTAGTTCATTCGTCTTTGTTTTGTTGCAGGTAGCAGCGTTCTTCTCATTCACCTGGACCTTTGGGGAGTTTCTTTGCAAAAGCGTCCACTATCTTCAGAATGTGTCTGCCATCTGTTCTGTGTTTACCCTGACCGCCATGAGTCTGGAGAGGTTTGTACAACTGCAGAATACTGATACTGCCCACAGAACCCCGGTGAGTGCGACGTTAAACAACAAACAAACAAAAACAAACAAAAAAGGACCAAAACCATTTCCATAATCACAAGAAATATAAAAGTAGAGTTCATTGTACGATTCCCACTTTATTAAAGCATGTTTATGAACCACTGTTAAAAGGTGTTAGTGTTTAATGGAATTTCGAGTTGGGTTACGAGTTGACAAAAACCGCCCTGTCTGTCCATACAAATGGATTGCCATGTGGAAAGGACGTGCTCTAATCCGGGTCGCAACTGTCATGCGTGGTCACGTGAATTGAAATTCGATGGCAGGTCCATGCTACAAGATCCTTGTTGAATAGAAGTTTTCGAGTATACGTAACCGCCCCTTGAAATATCTCGTGATACACGCGTAATTCCAAACAACAACACATGCAGTCAAACACCGCTGTGTCGAAGTTGAAGGGACCTACGTTAATACTTCGAGATTCGAAACAACCGGAAATTATAATAAATAAGGTGTACGCAGGGACCAAGCTTTTACTTCGAGATAACCATAAGTTCGACACAACCGTGTTTGCTGTATATGCCTTTATCTTTATTTGCCTTTTTTCAAAGTAAACAGAATATTGAGATTTGATATACGAAACATGAACACAACCATATATGATTAATAACAAAACAATAAAGAAGTCACATTTCACCACCAATGATTAAATATAATTATCTGGATACAGACATTGAAATATTTACACCATAAGAATTGTCCAGAGTAATCTATTGCCAAATCATTTGTTAAAGAGTTTTAGCTGTCGTCGAAGGTTTTGTTGACAAAGGCAACTCGAAGGTTGTCTTTTTTCTGCTGCCGTCGCTGGAGAAACATCATGACTGCGACACCGATGATGCCGCCCACAACCAACATGACTAAAGCAACTCCCACGAATGCCCCTGGATGAAAAAAAGAAGACGGCTGTACGATGATTTTAAAATAAAATACCAAAGACCCGAATCCGTGACGTTACTAGTATTTGGTGTATGTCTGATGTGGTTCCATATGATTTGGACCTGTGTCACGTGGACATGTGTCATGTGATCCTGTTATCTTGTGATCCTGAGTCATGTGATCCTGTGTCACGTGGACATGTTTCATGTGATCCTGAGTCATGTTGACATGTATCATGTGATTCTGTGTCACGTGGACATGTGTCATGTGATCCTGTTGTCATGTGATCCGATTTCATGTGATCCAATTTTTGATGTGATCATGTTGCTCTGTGTAATGTGTCATGTGGCATATGGTCGTGTGATATGTCATATGTGTTTTGATTCCCTGTCACGTGGGCCCATCTCATGTGTAATGGGATCATGTGTGATACGTGATGTGATGTGACATGTAGTCCGAAGTGATGTGTCATGTGATCCTATGTGATGTGATCCTATGTGATGTGTAATGTGATCCTATGTGATGTGTGATGTGATCCTATGCGATGTGTCATGTGATCCTATGCGATGTGTCATGTGTGATGTGATCCTATGTGATGTGTGATGTGATTATATGTGATGTGTGGGAGCATGGGTGGCCCAGTCGTCTAAGGCACCGCGATTCACTCTGCAGAGTTGCGTCCCTTGGACACGTCAGGAATCTATGATTGTGGGTTCGAATCCCGGGTCCCCCGATTATGTTTCTAGGTTTGTCAGCACCATACCCGTGCTCGTGGGTTTCACCGAGTGGTAAACATCTGAAGACTGCATCACTTCGGGCTTTCCTCCCACATTAAGCTGACACGCCGCGATATGACTGGAATACTGTTAAAAGCGGCGGTAAACCCAACTCACTCATTCACTAATTATGTGATGTGTCATGAGTGATGTGATTCTATGCGATGTGTGATGTGATCTTATGTGATGAATGATGTGATCCGATGTGATGTGTCGGCTTGCCTGTCACACATCACATGTCTTTAGAATTTAAGCGGGACCGTCGTAGTTGTAGAAGTCGTACCTGCGTTGTTCGACGACTTTTGTTGGGATGCGACGTTGGTACAACTGACTGGTGTCGTCGGGTTCTTTACTGTTGTTTAAAGAAAGAAAACAATTAGTTACAATCACAACTACAGATGACTCTCATAATTTTTTGCAGACTGAATTTATATCTCGATCAAAGGTGTTTTGGTCTCGATTAAGTTGAGGTTGCTTCTGTAAACTTTACATTTATTATGTAAAAACCAACATTATTATTATTATGGCATATATGAAGTGCAAATTTACACATAATACTAATACACTATCCTATACCAGTGAATGACGTGTTCACCTTGATTCGGTGTCTGGTGTCCAGGGTTTGGCTGTGGTGTCTGGTGTCCAGGGTTTGGCTGTGGTGTCTGGTGTCCAGGGTTTGGCTGTGGTGTCTGGTGTCCAGGGTTTGGCTGTGGTGTCTTTTGTGCAGAGGTTGGCTGTGGTGTCTTTTGTGCAGAGGTTGGCTGTGTTGTCTTTTGTGCAGAGGTTGGCTGTGGTGTCTTTTGTGCAGAGGTTGGCTGTGTTGTCTTTTGTGCAGAGGTTGGCTGTGGTGTCTTTTGTGCAGAGGTTGGCTGTGGTGTCTGCTGTCCAGGGGTTGTGTTTTGTGTGACGGCTGGTCGAGGCGTGGCTCCTAGGACACCAGAAGGATGACAGTAAGAGTATAACAAGGTTTAACAGTCACAGTGACATCTAAAGAAATAGTTTTCAATGCTCATCAATATAACGTTATCAGGAGAGAGAGAGAGAGAGAGAGAGAGAGAGAGAGAGAGAGAGAGAGAGAGAGAGAGAGAGAGAGAGAGAGCACCATATACACGTAAGGTCTGTTGTCCTGCGTTTACAAATGAGATATCCTTCAACACGAACGTTCAACGCACTAGATTCGAATAAGATGTCATTTCGCTAGAACAAGTAGTAACTTGTTGTAGTGGTTACACAGTTGTAATGAGCACATTTATTATAATTCTACATTCCACACTCTCCTACTTCCACTTTCCACACTCCCCCTCTCCCACATTCCACACTCCCCCACTTCCACATTCCACGCTCCCCCACTTCCACATTCAACGCTCCCCCACTTCCACATTCCACAATCCCCAACTTCTTCATTCCCCAACTTCCACACTCCCCCACTTCCACATTCCACTCCCCCCACTTCCACATTCCACCCCAACCTCCACATTCCACACTCCCCACTTCCACATTCCATACTCCCCACATCCACATTCCACATTCCGAACTCCCCACTTCGCCACTTCAATACTCCCCCACTTCCACTTATTCGTGTTTGCCACACTATCAATACCATAATAGTGATTGTATACGATGCAATATCATTGACTTATATTGATACAATACAATGATACATGCTTGCCAAATTAGCAATTGCCTCATGTTGACACTATACAATGAAACATGCTTGCCACACCATCAATAAAATAATGTTGATACTATACAATGATACATGCTTCCCACACTATCAATTCAATGATGTTGATACGAAACAATGAAACATGCTTGCTAAACGATCAATATCATGTTGTGTATACTGTACATGCTTGTCCCACTATCAGTAGCCTAATGGTGATATTATACAATGGCACATGTTTTCCACACAATCAATAGCCTAATGTTGTTATAAAACAATTATACCCGCTTGCCAAACTATCAATAGTCGTATTTGACATAACATCAATAACAATATGCACGTGAATACTACATAATGCATTATACTTGACAAGCTATGAATAAAATCAAAT